AAGCAGAAACACAAAAAAGCAGAACACAGCTAAATGTATCAAAAGTATGTCTACAGTATGTAATATTAGAATTTTCTGAGACAATGAATTTTGGTTTTCATTTTTTTCCCCTGTAAGAGGTTTTTATTTAATAGAATTTTTGGACAAAAAAATCGCAATATATCGCGATATATCGCCTTGCTTACAGTATCGCAATATATCGGGATGTATCGTATCGTGACCCCTCTGTCATGATATGTMTCGTATCGTCAAATTCTTGCCGATACTCAGCCCTACTGAAGAGGACACGGCTCTCTCTGGCCTCAAGCCAGGGGGAACCTGAAGATCTAAAGACTGAAGAACAGGAGATTTCTGGAAGACTTGCAAGCTGAAGATTTGAACATCAAATTCAAAACCTCTCTCATGGGTCACAAAATTTCATCAAGTAATCGGACAAGTGGACATCATGAAGACCTTCTTGTGAACTAAATCTGGAACCACAAGACCAAGGACATTTTAACTGATAAGTATGAAAGATCCTTCATCCTCAATCCTCATCCAAATATTCTGGCTAAATTAATGCAGCTTGGTTAGGGACAGATTTTTCTCATCAAATGATGTGACTTAAATGTTACCTAATCTTCTTCAGCCACTGAATGCTATGCACTGCTTTGCTGTTATTCATTAAAGGAGCAATTTAAAGTCTCTACAAGTTCTGGACATTCATTTTCAAAGTACTTTCTTGTGATGTGACTCTTACATGGTGTTAAACAAACAACCGTGCTGGTTCTAGAAGTCAAACGGTTCTTATTGGTTGTCCATAGCCCAATAACATTAAAAACAACATCCTTGGGGTCTACCTCCAGACCACTAAAACCAATCCAGATGGTAACAAGTGCAAATGTCTAAAGAGGGGCAGATCGCAGTTTATGAAAGTGTTCGAGAAGTGATTCACCGCAGGCTCCTCGATGGATTAACTTCCTTAATGAAAGAGGATGTGGCTCTTAGAAGAAATGTGACCAGATCTGGACGAATCCTCCTCGCAACCAGCTTAAACAATTCTTTTATCACTGCTTAGGTAAGACGTTTGAGTTTGAAAGGATTCGGACCCTCGAAACAGAGAGCTGGCATCGAGTCGCTTCTGATGCAAAGAGGAAGTGGCTTGTGACAATGTTTCCATAGTAAAGAGTCCTCCCAAACTAATCTGGTCCAGACCAGGTTTAAAGTGGATCTTACCAGATTATCAGTCATTTCACAGCAATCTTGCTAGCCTGGAAYTTTTTCTTGTATTAAGAAATCTTACCCAGTGCAAGACTTTCTGTACTGGAAGATTGATGCACTTAATTTGAGAGAATTCAGACAATAATATAATATGTTTTTAACATATTTTTAAGTGACTAATTTTAGAAGACCTTCAGCATGCGCTGGGGAGGTTCGCAGCCAATTGTGAAGCAGCTGGGATGAGAGTCAGTTCCTCTAAGTCTGAGGTCATGGTTCTCAACTGGAAAAGGGTGGAATGCCCCCTCCGGGTCCGGGGAGAGTCTCTGCCTCAAGTGGAGGAGTTTAAGTATCTGGGTTTCTTGTTCACGAGTGGTGTTTGGATGGAACGGGAGTTGGATCGACGGATTGGGGCCTCATCCTCAGTAATGAGGGTGTTGCTTCGGTCACTTGTGGTGAAGAAAGAGCTGAGTCGATAGGCAAAGCTCTTGATTTACTGGTCTGTTTTAGTTCCAACCCTCACCTATGGTCATGAGGCGTGGATCATGACYGAAAGAAYGAGATCCCGGATACAAGAGGCCAAAATGAGACTCCTTCGTTTGGGGGCCAGACTCAGCCTTAGAGACAGGGTGAGGAGCTCCGTCATCCGGGGGGAGCTCGGAGTAGAGTCGCTGCTCCTCCACATCAAAAGGAGTCAGTTAACTTAAAAATAGATGGAGTTGCAAAGATGCCAACAATTAGGCAAAGATCCAACTCGTGCAAAAAGATTTTACTGAGCTATTTWTTCCAGATTTACTGAAGTTTTCCTTACAAAATCAAAATGATAGTTTTTTTCTTATTTTTCATGGGGTGCTGAGTTAAAATTTGTGGAAGCGCAAGCACCCATAAAAAGAGGTTGAAATTATCACTGGGGCATTACATTTGAACAAGCTAATTTAACACTTTTTCTACACAAYCTATGAACCATGACTCTGGTTCAGCGTCGGTCTACGTAAAGAAACTTACCAAGTCTCTATAGTATGTAGAGCTGGAACACTGCTGAGTGACACCCATACAGAAACAGGACAAGCAGCCATCTTTATTTTCCTGGCTAAGATGAAAGGTTCCAGACTTACAGGTGGAGCAAGACACACCTTCAACATTCATCTGTAATAATAACAGACAGGCAGTCAGTTCAGGTTTGGAAATCCATGAGATGAGATTAATACTCCTAAGAAATCTGTTTGATCACCTTGCATTGACATGCACCACTGTAACAGTTTTCACTTCCTCTTTCGTCACACTTGTAGCAGTTACCTGTAATGTAAAAAGTAAAATAATTAGAAAGTTTTGCAACCTCTGCTTCAAATAAAAGAAAAACAGAATCAAAGAGTTTTTTTTCTTGGATCAATCTGCAGGTTTTACCATTAACTTCATTGTCAAGCACACATCTCTTTCCAAGCAGAGGATTGCCAGTGTATCCAGGGGCACATCTGAAGTAAAAATACACAAAGTGTTACCAAAAATTATTTCCATTAAAAATGGATGCAAGTTTTATTTTGAAAAGAGTAGTACAGGAAGCTAAAATGTCTGCAGGAAATTATAAATTTGACGAATCATGTCCTTCAGAGCAGAGATTCTTAACCTATGGGCCGCGGCCCAACTGTGGGCCGCAAGCGCCACMTTGAGGGCCTCAAAAGAACAACAGTTTTTAACTTTGGTCCGCAGAGGGCCGTGGGACCACATTGATTTAGAATAAGGTGCAATACACTTTCTCACCACTAGTAGCAGTAGTGCACCACTCAGATGTTTAACWACTTTTTAATATGTAGAAGAAGAACCTTAGAAACCTGCCGAGAATTGAAACTTATTTTAAATTAAACGTAGAAGCATTAATGAAGGTAATCCATCAAAAAATGCCAAAGTTTGTCACTAATATGAAGAGCAGCTTCTGTTTTTACCATGCAATATTTTAAAAGTTCAAAACATCATTAAGTATAGTTGCAGACACAACTATATTTTAATTTGTACTTTAAATTAATTTTTGTAGTTTATTTTTAAACATTTTGAATGTATTTTAAAGAAACTTGTTAAAATGCTGTTGTTACTGTTATTGTT